TGTTGGAGTGGGTAGGCTTGTATAGTACTGGTCGTCCCATGGGGCTACGGGAGCGGTACTAATGAGGTGTCCTCTTGTCGTTGCTATGGTGGGCGTGCAGGTGCTGAGGCAACTCTCGCAGGCTACGGCAGATTATCTCTTACTGAGCAACCAGCAGTTGAAGAGTAATGGACAACAGACTGCTGACTTGATGGAAGCTATAACGTGGGCCATCGTCGGACCTCATTTGAATCTTGGTATGGGCAACCTTAGATCCTTGCCGCCTATGGGGAAGCTGGCCATATTGTCGCAGCTACCTGATGAACTGATGAGTACTAAGCTGTTCCTGCATGCTGTGGATCGGGGAGCGGTCACGGACGATATGGTAGTAGCCCATCGGGAGTTTTGCTCAGCGAGTGGTATGTGTATTGTAGGTGACTAAGTACTGCTCGAAGGTGCTTAGCCTTGTGGATGAGATGAGCTCGAATACTAAGGATGCTAGTGTAACTGGAGAGTGCATTGTAGTGTTCCGAAAATGGATCAAGCTGGCGAGGTAGTACCAATGGGTGGGAGCTGGAGGTCTCAATGAATAGGGGATTTGGAAGGCTCGGTAGATTAGGTTATTGGGCACGTTGTTGCTGAGGGAGTCTTTCCTCGGTACTTGTTGTTTTTATTCTCGCCTGAGGGATTCTTTTTCGCTCTGTTCTGGCGTGTTGGGTAGAGAGAGGAGTTTGCCATTCCATCGGGGATGATCATCTAAGCTGGTGCAGGTTTTCCAGCAAGGCTCGCAATCGTCGGTCGATGGGAGACAGGGCAGCCAACGAGCTAGTGTTGCCGGCAATTTTAAATCTGAGTATCTTCAGGAACGTTCTTGTGGCCTTCCACAGCTCGAGGTAATACGTCTCACCTCTTTATTAGGGGTCCATCTATGTCGGTTTCAGCACACCGGTGTCGGTGATGGAGCAGTGTGCTTTCGTGCTGAGCGAATGCTTATCGGTGACGACAGACACCACTGATAAGGACAGTGGGAGGTATCGTTATGGGCTCTTGGTCATAGTTGAAGGCATGTGTGTTTTAGTTTCGAGATGGTCCTGGCTATAGCCGAGGCGATCGTTATGTTGGGACGACAGCTGTCAGAGGCTATCCCGGCAGGTGAGGAAAATGCTTAGGAATCACCTTTTTGAGCGCATAGATTCTTGAGGAAAGTATTGCTGCTCGTTAACAGGCACGGACTCGTTCATATCGGAGACTACCAAATACGACTGGGAACTGATACAAAGGAGCAAGTAGTGGGCATGTGCTGGGGTGTGGTGGTTAATTTTGTGGCGCGGTGACGCAGATTGATGTGTCGGTTACTATCCGAGTTTGGCCTCACACACTTCTTCCCGTTGGTTGTTCTGGCCTCCCCTAGTGTTGAACACCCTGAAAAAGAGAGGATCAAGGCGGTGGTAAGATACTTTGTTATAATCGATCATCTGGTCGAGCGCGCATGGCAGAAAGTATGGTACTGTTTGTAGGTAACGGCTATACTGCAGTTGGCTCTTCACTTCGTGAGAGTTAGACATGTGGAGTTGGCGGGAACTGCTCTCGAGTTTTGGTAGGGTTCTTGTAGTGTAGCACATACGTGTGAGGTCGGACATGCTCAGGTATTCGGCATTGAGTGGCTTCCTAGGAGCATCCAGTCTGGAGGATGAGGAGGATGACCTTTTCTTTGACGCTAGCACACAGGGGACTGCTGAGGGCAGCTCTCGATCGTTGATGGCGTAATAAGGGAATAGGAAGGGTGTATTGGGGTGAGCGTTTGTGGATTATGGTGCTGAATACGGTCAGTCGTTTGATGGCTTGCGGGAAAATTTTCGAATTGTCTGTGATGTAGTCTATTCATTAGCAATCTCCAAGGCCAATGTCTACTACTTAGTATAGACCGCTTTGATAGCTGCCCATCTCACAGATGTTGATTATTTTAGGTTATTAGGAGCTCGAGAACAGCGCATAGCAGAAAGGGTCTTGCAACATCAGGTAAGGCTGTTGTTGCCCTGGGTGCACTATGATGTGATAGATGGTGGTGTGTGTCTATGCAGAAAGGGCTGCCGTTGGAGTTTGTGTCGATGTGGGTATTCCTCAGAATCAAGAAATGACGCTGCCCTTCCTCGAACCCTGGTTCAAGGAGCTTGTGCCGGCTCTGCTCATCGCGATATGTTGTCCGGCTGATATCGAGAAGGCTGATCAGGACGAGGGATTTGAGATCGAGCCCTTTGTGGATTTCCGGGAGGTAGTGAATAGATATTTTCCTCGTCACTTTTCATGTAGGGGTAGACGAGCCGCAGTAGAAGCGAAAAAATTGATGGTTATGAATTGTGAATATGTAGTGTAATTCCAACTTTCATAAACAAGTGTTATGATCTTGATGTAGTATCGCCTGGTGCATATAATGGTGGATCCGCTGGTAGAATTCTTTTTTGGGTCAGTCTTGCGCCCAAGTGATATCTGATAGCTGCTCGATAGTCGATCCTGAGTGGATCATTGAGCAGATCGGAGAAACACTCTCACAGTGTTGTCAGACGGATCAGGTAAGGTCGTAGACTATGTAAGGGTTGCAGTAACACTGGTAGGCCTCTGGGTTGGTCCGTGCTCCTTGGCAACGTGTGGAAGCATGCATATATGTGCTTACGGCGGTAGCGCCCAAAGCAGTTGCCGGACAGGATGAGGTGAGGTGCTTATTGGAATGGTAGAGAGTGATGGGCGGTGTTGGTTGCAGGTTATACCGGGGCTCTTGCGATTGCTGCCCAAGTTGGACTATCCACGTGAGGGACTACCTGCCTTGCTGTTGAGGACGGGAGCTGGTAATAACGCTGACTTTGTGAAGAGGGTAGGGAGGGGGGCGGACGTGTTTTGTATCAGGTCGTATAGTACTGTATACCAGCTGCTACTTAGCTGAGCAGAAGGAGCTGTGTGTAACGCTGCTTAACTTCTTTTGTGAAACTATTATACCGGGTAAGCCCAAGATGAGTGTTCTTGAGGTTGATGTTATTGTCAGTGCTTCCCACAGTATCGACTAGTGGTGGTGCCTCTAGGGATATTCTTAAACTATCACAGAAAGTGTGCACGGATGCTGTTAAAACGGTATAGGTGGTGTGGCTGGGCTCGTTGAGTGATTGGGTGTTCGTGTGGAAGGTTTTGATGGCGTCTCGAATGATGTTGGTGCAGAGCGTGGCGACTAAGGATAGGCAGCAATGGGAGCACCTTGTTCAGGGCTTAGTAGGGCTGGAGTGGGGGCGGGGGCGTGCTGGATGGTTCGGTGTTGTAGGCATCGGTGTGCTTGCTGCAAACACTGGATATTGATGCACGAATTAGCATTGTTACGGGCATTGGCTCAGTCTTTGCAGTGTTGCCGGACTGGGAACAGATCACAGCTAGTTTGGAGGACTTCTGCAGGTAGAAGGGTTATTATTACCAATAGTCTACTTGTGCTATTTCGCGCTAACGTAGTGTGAAAAGTCGCACTGTTGTAATATATGTTCGCTTTCCCCAGCTGACCCTGGAAATTAATATACGAACTAGGGTAGAAAAATATACAGAAACCAACAAGAATTTTGCAAAATTTTCTCAGAATGTTGATATTTTGCAAATTTTCCCACATTGGGAAGTCATGTTCGTGAGCGTACTCCTAAAACAAAGTGTTTGAGTATTATCTCTATCCCATAGGTTAACGGCTGAGCCCCTGTCGAAGTCTCTACAGGACTATCGGCCACCACATAATAATATGGTGTCTGGTCCACCGGCGGTGAAGCTGTTCATAGCCAGCTTGAGCTGTTGTGGGCACATTCGCAACGAGTGAGTGGGAAGATCTGCTTATCGATCACTCGGGCGAGCGCGGTGTGAAATTGGTCTTATTGTTCGGTATTATTGTATTAGCTACTCCGCCGATGACGAACCTTCCACTCATCCACTGCTAGCGAATCTGGAAGAGTACTGGTCGACTGTCCAGCAGGTGGTGATGTCTGTCGTTATATACCATCAGGATCTATCTCAACAGCTTTGTAAGTTGGGCACTGCTCACTGTTGTGAGGGGAAAGGGGTATGTTGGGGAATCTGGTAGGACATCACAGTGATGCTATATACGCCTAGTATGAACCAGTATAATGATTATATCGTGGAGTATAGGAGTATCATACTACTATACTCCATGTTATGTATCATATTACTAGTATGGAGTGGCATGAGGAAATCAAGCACGGAAAAATCTGGCAGGAGTATGTGTTTAGAATATCCTTTTGCTACCCTTGTTGGATCTTATGCACTCTCGACCGTCTTGTTCGTGTTGTTCAGGTGTAGCATTCGGACATATCTTCGCTTACACCCGAGATGTGGCACCTCAGTCGGCAGTTTTCATACCAACACTACGTGAGTTTCTGCGAATTTCGTGGCGCGTGACGATTATCTTTGGCCTCTTTAGAACTGGTATCAGAAGCATTTAGAGCGGCACCGTTGAGCTGTTGGATGCAGTTGGTGAGAACTTTCGTCGCATTATTTGGGGAACTTACGCGGGTGAGTAGGCTCTTGGCGTTGTTGGTAGCAGTAGTATTGTTGTTGTGGTTGTCAGGTCCATACAGAGTTGGTCAACACCTTGTGTGATCTTAGTGCTACCTTTGTTGCTCATAGTGAGTGAATGGGAGGGGTTGATGGGATCAGAGTCATCATCATCGGATTTACCATAATTTCGAGGAATTCTAAGTTGTAGACATTGGGTGAGAGAGCGAGGAAAGTATAGTGGGAAGATAGGGAGAATTCGGTGGAAACGATATTGTCGGCTTCCTTGGTTTTGCTCTCTGCAACTCTCCGAACGTGGATGTTGATGATACAACGTAGTTATTTCTAAACCCTGTGGACTTTGCATGAGCTGGTCGTGCTCGCCCTGGTTTTATAATGGTTTATCAGGTTCATCTTTGCAACAGAGTAACATGTCGTTGACGGCTCTAACAACTGACGAGAGTAAGATGGTAGCAGAGACGTACTTGGTGTTGGGGGAAGTGTTGAGATTTGTGGATCTGGTAATAAGGAGGGGGGAAGGTCCTTCTGAGAGGGGTCGGCTTAGGTGCATGTGGTACTGCCAGCTGGGTGGTTGTTGCCGACGACCAAGTTGGCCATTGCATGTTTAGAGGCTGCTCCTATTGATGTGAGTGGAAGGAGGAAGGGTTCTGTGATGTGAGGGAATTGTGGTAGGCGCAAACTCAACCTGCTATAGCGGCGATGTTGCACTTTCTGGAACGTCTGGTTACGTGGACGGACCCTCCGCCGATTATTCATGCCGCTGAAGATACCGAGAGAGTCTGCCGAGAGAATTGCCAGCTGGTAGGTTCAAATGGGGGAACTGTTGGGATAAGTGTAGGAAAATATGCTTATGGTCAACTACATGTGTTGGTGATAGTATGGGAATTCTGAGGAAGGCTCAGGAATTTCGTATTGGTTTCTGTGTACTTCTATTCGGAGTCATCTGTAAAACTGTATAATTAGTGAGCTCAGCTGAGGAAAACAAAGATGTGCTCCTCCAATACTGTCTAGGCAAGCTTAGTGCTGCTAATATAGGTTCGGCAAATACTCCTGTCATCGT